AAATTATTTAAATTTTTAAAGAAAAGTGAGGTAATTTTATCGTTTACCTGTTGTAAATTATGTTAAGGTTGCGCTACAGTTGCGCTACGGTTGCGCTATGGTTGCGCTATGGTTGCGCTACAGTTGCGCTATGGTTGCGCTACGGTTGCGCTATGGTTGCGCTATGGTTGCGCTACGGTTGCGCTATGGTTGCGCTACGGTTGCGCTATGGTTGCGCTATTGTTGCGCTATTGTTGCGCTATGGTTGCACTTTAATAAATTTTTCTGCTTTTTGCAGATTTTTGTTTGTCTTGAGAATGTTACCAATGAGGAGGCCGAAAAATACGGGGCTGACATTATTGCCATACAAAACTTGGAAACTCGTTCAGGTCATGAACCACAGAAATTGCAGTCACCCCAGAAAATTAAGGCTTCCGCAAGAAAAAAAACTTGACACCACCCCACCTCCCTCCCCACCTCCCTCTCCTCCTCTCTCTCCCCCTGATTCTCCTCATAATGAACCATCAGAAACTGAACCTCTGCCACCAACTCAACCTTCTAATCTTCCACCTACCGAAAAAATTTCCACCAGTCAACCTTTTGCTAAACAGCCACCCATTAGAAGGGCAGATTTAGAGGCTGTTCAGAATAAATATTTTGAAATATTTGAGAAGATATTGAATAAAATTCAAGAAAATGTTGGAGCTAGATTGGATCGAGTTGAAGATATTTTGGAGAAACTTCAGGCAGATCAAGACTCCCTGAAGTACAAATTTATTGAATTTCAAATGCAGTGTGATCACAATCCAGAGAAGCCGCATATATCTACATCTGCCTCCAGCTTCCAATCAGTGAAAAATACAGCTTTGCATCCTTCAGGACAAGCACCAATACAAGATCTTCCTCCATCTCCACCAATGGCCAAAGAACTTCTTCCACAACCACCAATACCTCCACCTCAATCATTGGCCGAAGAACTTCTTCCACAACCACCAATACCTCCACCTCCACCATTGGCCAAAGAACTTCTTCAACAGCCACCAATACTAGATTTTCCTCCGTCACCACCATCAGCCAAAGATGTGCCACTACCAAAAGATAGTTCATCAAAGCACATGATTCAAAAAAGAAAAAGAGAAGATGATGAAAAAG